GAGCTTATTCTGTACCATGCACTATTCTAAGCAATTTATATGTTTATATATTTCAATCTTCATAACAACCCCATGAAAGAGGCAGCATTCTACAGGTGGGAAAACTGAGGCTTAGGAATAGTTTTGTTTTCTCTGTCTGTTCAAGTAATTTGCCTAGGGTCAGAAACAAAATTGGAACATAAGCAAGCTAATTCTAGACATATAGTTCTTAATCATTTCACAAGGATACATCAGATATGCCACTTTAAACCTTAGAGCATTTACTAGCATGTATTTAAAGGAAACAATGCTGGATGTCTTTCTGCAACCTTAGAAGCAGTGGCTTTCTCTTATGGGCTCTGTGGGCCAGAATCAAAGTCACCTAAACTTCAGGTCAAAGATTAGAGGCACTTCACAGGCTCACTGTGCAAGCTAGTGATACCTGGACTTTCTGCTAAACACTAAGGGCACAGATTTTATACTGCTTGCAATGGCCTCATCTGCTTTTGTACCTGATAAACTGTTTACATAAATGAGTATCTATACAAACCAATCCGTATTAATAGCCAACTCATCAAAGTCAATCACTGAAGGACCTCGGTCTTCACTTTCAGTTTGTTCTCAGAATTTTATTAGAAACTATAGCAGTTCCCAGATCACCTAGTACCCATAAGACCCCCAAACTTCCTCTAGTTCCGTATTTCTATATCCTATCCTAGCCAAAGGATGTGAAAAAAAAATTGTCTTCCAAGAGGCAAGAACTCTAAGAACTTCCAAGAACTCAACAATTATGTAAATAGGACATGAAAAGAATCAAACTTCTCATGCTTCTGGACATACATTAATACTGAAAGAGCCCAATTAATTCTTATGCTACTTAGAATATGATAGGATTCAATCTCAACAATGTTCTACCTGCATAGAGATATTTCAATGATAATTATTTCAAATTTACTTTGGCACACACAGACTCTCTCTCTCTCTCTCTCTCTCTCTCTCTCTCTCTCTCACACACACACACACACACACACACACACACACACACACACACATACACACACATACAGACAAGAACAGAAAATATTTTCTCAGTGAAGAATTTACAGCTATAAAACCCTCCAACTTAGAACAGTTTATTGAATCCTCTAACTAAATTATTTAGGAAGACGGAAGAGAGTTTCCTTTAGTGGCTTTTGGGGATTTTAGAATAAACCATGCCAATAGTTCCTGAGCCTGAACTCAAAGAATTCTCTACCAATCTGTTCTTTGTAGTGCTGCCCTTATCAAAAACATAGTTTCAACAATTATCTTAGTTAGTGGCATTAAAGAATTCATTCACAAAGCAAATATTTATTAAGTATCTATAAAGTGACAAGAAATGTATCATCCTGGGGCGCCTGGGTGGCTTAGTTGGTTAAGTGTCCGACTTCAGGTCATGATCTCATGGTTCGTGGGTTTGAGCCCCGCGTCGGGCTCTGTGCTGACAGCTGCTCAGAGCCTGGAGCCTGCTTCAGATTCTATGTCTCCCTTTCTCTCTGACCCTCCCCTGCTCACGCTGTCTCTATCTGTCTCTCTCAAAAATAAATAAAACATTTTAAAAAATTAAAAAAAAATATATATATATATATAAAGAAATGTATCATCCTAAGACTATAGTGGCTCACAGCAAAAAAAAGAAACAAAGAAAAAGTTTCTGCTTTCAGAGAGTTTACACACTAGTTTTAGGATGATACTGGCTTCTGCTTCTATTTTCACATAAGCCAATGATCATCATTCATTAAATGCTGACAATATAGCATCTTCCAGATACATGATGACAAGTGGGATAAAATGTAAATCTTTCACTGGAAGTCTCAGAGTGCTTCTCTTACTGACCCTGATCAAATTAAAGTGGCACTAAGATCCACAGAAGGACTAACAAAAAAATTAAATGCTCCCTTTACATGAGAAAACAAGGATTCTATATACGTAACAGATCTAATTTTAAACTGTTATATTAGGAAAATCTTTATTTTATTTTTTTATTTATTTTATTTTATTCTATTTAATTCTATTTTATTTTAAGAGAAAGAGAGTGCAAGCAGAGAAGGGGCAGAGGATCCAAAGCAGGCTCTGTGCTGACACGATGACAGCAACAAGCCAGATGGGGGGGGCTTGAATTCACGAACTAAGAGATCACGACCTGAGCCAAAGTCAGATACTCAACTGACTGAGCCACCCAGGCGCCCCAGGAAAACACATTAAAAATATACTGATAGTCATTTTTTGGCAAGTAAGATCACACTCTAACAAGGCTCATTATTTCATGGGTTTGGCTAATCTGCCAATTAGATGATGCCCCCTATCCAGGCAAAGTATAAAGATAAGAAAAATCTACACTAGATACAGAAGGGATGTGATAGTGAATCATGTCATATCCCTGGTTTGGTCATGGTAGAGTTGTCTAAAAAAAGATTTTTTTCTCATTGTTAGACTCAACATTATAACTACTATTAAGATCTGTTCTGTAATAAATGGTAGTTTGTCCATAATACAGAATATCTATATACTACATAACACATAGAGAAGTAGGTCTATACGTTAATATGGAAAGAGTTCCAGTACATACTGTTAAAAGAAAAAAGAGAAGTATACATATAGCATGATGCTATTTATGGATTATTTTAGCCTCACAAAATAGTACTTCATTTCTGAATATTAAAAAAAAGGTATAGAAAGACACAAAAACATAACAGTGATTACATTTTTGAGAAGATGGTACAGGGCCATGATAAAGAATTTAGCACTGTGTACTATCTTACCCTTTTCTTTGGGAAATTATATTCATGTATTAACTACATCATTAGAAGTTAACTAAAGGGAGTTAAAACAGAGATCAATATTTCACAATAATCTAATGTGAATATATAATAAAATTGAGTAGTAAGTTACATTAAACTAAGTCAAATTCCTTGCAGTATTCATATCTTTCAAAAACTTGATCATTTTTTTAATCTAAAAAGAATTAAATGAATTAATCTAATCTAAAATGAATTAAACTATAGTTTCAAGGAAAAACTCACGGTATTGATCATTTTGTCTACAATATTACAAATCATGGAAAAACCCAACCTTGAAACTAAGAAAAAACAAACAAGTAACAACAACAACAAAACCAAAACAAAACCAAAAAAAGCCTAGCACTTTAAACATATAAAAGACAAAGGAAGTCTTGCTATATGGAAAATAGGGTAGGTATTAAATCAAGTATCCTCATCAAATCCCTGTAAACACCTCTCTGCCACTGTGTCCACAAATATAGTATCATTAAAGACAAGAGTCAGCATATCTTTAGCCCCAAGCACAGCAGATATGGCCTAAGAATGAGATACATTAAGTCACCAAAGAGACAGGAAGGAAGAGGAGGAAAAAAAGAAAGGAAATGAAAAACAAACCAAAATGAAAAGGATTCTTAAGGAAGAAAAGAGGTGTGGAACAGAAAGAGCAGCATTACGAGCCTACTGACTCAGGAGTCACATAATGGCTACAGCTCAAAGGAAACTAGCCGGCATGATTTGTAGAACAATTTACCAAGCATTTCCACATGCATTACCAAATAGATTCTTTGTAACAACATGGTAGTTACCCCATTTTATGGAAAGAAACTGAAGATCTGAAAGAGTCAGGGAACTGCCAAAAGCCACAGAACTGGAGTCTTTGCACTCTAAGCCCAGTGTTCTTTCTAATACCCTCCTGCTGCTACTGACTGTCCCCTCAATTGCTTCTAATTTTCACATAACGATTAACATTTCAAGAAACATCTGTTTTATCAAAATTTATTGATGTCTACATAGTAAACTATTCTTCTTTTCTCTAGGGAAGCTAACTGAAAAAAAAAATCTGATTTGTCCTTCCAAAATCAACGGAATATGGCAGTGAGGGTAGGAGGTGGTAATAAAGGGCAACATGAGAGAATTTTGTGATGATGGAGCTGTTCAATATCTTGAATGTGGTGGTGGATACATGAACTTGTGATAAAACTGTATGGAACTTAAAACACACACATACACCCCTACAAAGTAGTACAAGTAAAATTATGGAATTCTGAATAAAATCCATGGATTTTAGAAATGCCAATATCCTGGTTGTGATATTATATTATAGGTTTGCAAAATATTACCACTAGAGGAAAAATGGTAAAGGGTACATGAGACTTATTTGTATTTTTTGTTATAACTGCAAGTAAATATATAACTATCTCAATAAAAAATTCAATTAAAAATTAACAGAATATTCATACTACCAACACTGATTTTGAAACAGATTAGTGATATTGTAGAGAAACATAAGAAGATACTTGTAGTCATTCAAAGCTGAATTTGTTATAGTGGAACTGGCAGCAGCCTTACTCATAAAACTAAATTTTTTTAAATTATGATTTCAACCCAGAGGTGATAATTTTGAACAGCTTTTGGTGACATAATACTATAAGAATGAGAGATCACTCGACCCATGCAAAGGGTAAACAAGATGGAAAAAAAGAATCAGAAAGAAGTAAAAGGTCTTTTTGAACTAGAACAAAGAGTTGTTTAAGAATTCCATTTCAAAATATCAACTTACATAATACTAGAAGTGTAAGCCAGTAGGACGATTAAGGAACTATGGTGATAATTATGAAATGCACCAAGAATTGTCTAATAATAATGCTGCGCATAACACCTACTATCTATCAAGCACATACTATATACCTGGCAATGTGCTGGCTGCTTCACATAAGTGATCAAAAATCTTCACAATAACTCTGGAAGGTGAAATGTGGAAAATGATGGATACTATGTAATTTACTCAACATGACATAGTTCGAAAGTCCCAAAGCTTGACTTTAAACCTAGGTTTTTCTGACTCTAAAGCTTGTGTGCTATTCATTGCTCCATAGTACATAGGGAAGAAATATCTTATGTTGATATTCTAGTACATGACTCTCGAGTGAAAGAAAAAAATTATATCCAGTAGTGAAAAATTATCATTGATATCATACTTACCTGCTTATAAGTTCCATCTAGCAAGGTGTCCAGGTGTTGGAGGGGGGCAGGTGTTTTATCTTTGAACCTTGTTAATAGTCGACGTTGAATGGCCCGAAATTGTACAGCTCTTTCAGATAAGAGTTCTTCTAATTTTTCACCATTTATCCGCAACTACAATAAAGAATTTCTTAAATTCAGGTTACATGTGTGCAACAAAGCATTTTTAAAGCAAGAAGATAGGCAATGCCAATTAAAGCATGAAAGACAGTAATGACAGAAATTTAAACATATTATAGAATTAAGAGAATTAAAACTGTAGTCTTTGGTACATGAATAGATAGATACTTAGATCATATATACATAAGAGAGTAGGACAGATCAAATGGAAACTCAGTACAGATGACTCAGTATCACTGGGGAAATACAGATTATTTTATAAATGTCCTGTAATAACTGATTAAATACATGAGAAAAAAGAATAAGCATTTCTCCCCCAGTCTTTACAGCAAAATCAATTGGAATAAATTTACACACAATAAAAGTACTGGCAAAATTAGAATTTTTAAATAATCTTGGCATGAGAAAGACCCTTATAAGTCAAAAGCCAAAAGCCAGACACACACATACTAACACCTCTGATAAATTTGTAACTAAAACAAATGTAATTCTATATGGTTAAAAAAGGAAAAAATATCATAAGTGACAAGACAGCAAGCTGCAAAAATAATAGCAATAACCACACAGACAAAAACTCAAGCACATAAAAGCTAGAAAGCATCTAAAAACCAATGAGAAAAGGACCAAAATCCAAATCAAATCAGTAAGAAAGAGAGTATCAATCCAATAGAAAAAATGGGGAAAATTTACAGAAAAGTTAATACAAATAGCTCTCAGACATAATTGCCTTTGATCTAGCAAGCCCATTTCTAGGAATTTATCCTAGGGGTATACCTGCAAAAAGTAATGTACATACAAGGCTATTTCATTATAGAATTATTTGTTATAGTATTATACTAAGATATATAGTAACATATTAACAATAATCAAAATATTCATCAATAGGTAAGAGGTTAAATAATAAAAAAGCTACTTTGGAGGACTACTAAGTACTGATATGCAATGTTATCCAAAGATGCATTGAATGAAACAAAGCAAAAAAATACAGAATAGTATTATAATGTGCTACCATTCATGTATTTTTAAAAAAGAAATCTGTACATTAATATAGTTGTGACTGCATAGAATAGTTCTAAAAAGATACACAAGAAACTGAACACTGAAAGTTACTTCCAAAGAGACTGAATGCAGGAGGAGAATCAGAAATAGACTCTTTTTACTATAACTCTGCTAATAACCTTTGAATTTAATATTATTAGAAGAATAAAAGAAAGCTAGTCAGTGTGATAGGGTAGGAAAAACACTCCATGAAGTCAGATTATGTGAACTGCCAATTCCACTTTACAAAACAATCATAAACTAGTCCTGAAATAAGGAGCATTTTCAAAATGTTCATAAATCAAACTATTACAGTTTACATTTCTCATATCAAACTATACTTTCTTTGCAAGTGTATGTATTCTCCAGACACATGATTTAAAAAATCCTGGAATTTTATTAATGTCTTTTGATCCCAATTTCAGAAGCACTAAGTAACTAAATAAAGCAAAGGACATTCTCTTGAAGAAAAAAAAAATTTCATTACCAAAAGTTAAATAATAATTTTTTAAACAACTAAATTTTTAAAGAGTATTATTTATCAATAATTCACTTTTTTAATTGTATAATTTCCAGCTATGATATTTTATTCATTACATTCATGAAACACACAAAAAAATTAAGAAGACATTTTCTTCTTTTTTTTTAATGTTTTTTATTTATTTCTGAGAGAGACAGCGTGAGCAGGGGAGGGTCAGAGAGAGAGGGAGACACAGAATCCAAAACCGGCTCCAGGCTCTGAGCTAGCTGTCAGCACAGAGCCTGTCGCGGGGCTCAAACCCACAAACCATGAGATCATGACCTTATCTGAGGTCGGATGTTTAACTGATTGAGCCACTCAGGCACCCCAAAGAAGACATTTTCAATACTGACACATCAGCCAGGTTATCATTCCACTGAATGTATAACCAAACATCAGTGATTGAAATGTTTTTGTATGTCAGAATTTCAACATTTAACAAATATTATTGATTCCAAAGCCAAGCACTGTTCTAAGTGCTAGAAATTATAGCAATCAATAATACAGACAAAAATTCCTGTCTTCATGGAGCTTATACTAAGGGACATTTGGATTCCAAAAGCCATCTTGATTCAAAGATTAACATCATATTTTAAAAGCAAAGAGACGGGGCACAGAGAAAGGAAGTATAATGATGCTCCTCTTAAATTGTATAACAAATGGAAGTGCCTGTAGTTCATCATGTTCCCTAAATCTCTCTCCAGAAAGGAAATGCCCCTGATGTGGAAACTCTAGGGGTTTACTAGCCAACAAAGAAGAGGGGAAGCTGTCAAACTTATAGCCAATCAGAATCTAATATTTTCTGTTTTAATACTGTAAGTATGTAATTAATATAGTCTTTTTGTAGACTCTTCCATAAACCACTAGATCTCAGTTCTGCACAGGAAAGCAAGAATTTTTAAAATATATCTTTAGGGGCACCTGGCTGGCTCAGTCAGTTAAGCGTCCGACTTTGGCTCAGGTCATAATCTCACAGTTTGTGGGTTCAAGCCCTGCATCGGGCTATTTGCTGACAGCTCAGAGCCTGGAGCCTGCTTTAGATTTTGTGTCTCCCTCCCTCTCTGCTCCTCCCCCATTCATGCTCTGTCTCTCTCTGTCTCTCAAAAATGAATAAAAATTTATTAAAATATATACATCTTTAAAAAATAAATTAAATTAAATTAAACAAAATAAAATAAATCCTAGAGGACTGCAAAGGTTCTCAATCCTTAAAAATACCTAAATATATTCCCCAAACTGTCAAGTTTTGGTGTCATGATTTGGTCAAAAGCATACTGTCCTATAAAATACTATCAGCAGAGATTAAAGAGAACTGAAATAAGTTCAATTTATTTGATAATGATAAATGTTATTTGTAGTTGGATTCTATGCACCGAAATTTCCCCTTTATGTTCTCACTATACTAAAAGAAGTCTTTATAGGTTAAAGTCAGTGTTCTTCGGATGTCTAAGGGACTGAACATTAACTAGAATGAATGTTCATGTGACTAACAAGTGACATGACATATTCTCTCTCTCTGTCACACACACACACACTCACACCTCATAGTTTATAAACTGAAATGCAAAAACCTATTGATTCCTTAAAAGTAGTTGCTCTAGAGAACGAATGCTTCTGTAAATAATGCTGAAAATACTTTTGAAATCCCGTCTTTTTAATCACCTACAGAGTCTATTTATAGGGAAATAAGTATTTGAATCAGGGGAATTTTTTTTAACACATGAGATTTTTAAAACAGTGTCATTAACCAATTCATTCACAGGACATGACTCTTGACTACTTCTAAATATCAAATCAATCTTCAAAGGATGAAGATTTTAGACCATCATGATACTCAGGACAATCTAGTACAGGCTCTGAGGAAAGGCTTTCAAAGAAGAAATGAAAATATTCTGGCAACAAACTCACTGTCAGATCTCATTTGTTTAAACATTTAATCGTTCAGCATTTACTAAGTGCCCATTGTGCCAGATACAGAAGAATATTTTATGTGGTTAACCCTCATTTAGATGCAGAAGTTCTGGTGTGCTTGTTAAAAAAGAAAAGGAAAAATCACTTTACTTTATAATCACACCTCATTTATGGTCTGCTAGAATTGGTTAGCCAAATGGCCGCCAATAAGCTCAAACAGTTTTAACACTGGGTTATTGGGGTCAAAGTTTAAGTCTCCATGTGGGAAAATTAAATCAGCTTGTTCTGAAGCCAGACCACATGCTTAGCTCTGGGCAGCCACTCTGTTAAGGTCTGCTAGTGATCACAAAGTGGGGAAGAGGGCAGGAACAGATACACAAAATCTATCATCCAGATAAAATAACTACTTGAAGCACTCAATTAACTAATGTATATACTAGAATTCTTTCCTCTGTAGCATTTCTTTCTCTTCCATATATTGAAAAATTATAGATAGTATGAGTTATGATCATACATACCTCAAAATGATGATCAATCAACTCAAAATATTCTTGAAGGGGCATACATCCAGAAAAAGAACAGGCAAAATCTTTGATTCCCTGTTTTTCAAAATATTCTTGAAGGCGGATAATAAGCTCATTTGTTATGAGCCAAAGATCTTCAAATTGTTCACTCTGGATGCGATATCGTTCTTAGAGAGAAAAGATAATTATGAAAAAATGCTTATTAACACATAATTACTAGCTGAAACTACATGATTATCACTAATTCTGACATGAATACCCAAACAAAAAGGACAAAAAATGGGGGGTGGAGGGGACTATAGATAGGATTTCTACTGCTTTATTGCAGTTCTCTACATCAAACACTTAATATTTAATTCCAAAGGTATGTGGTCACAGTGACAAGGTGGAGAGTATGGTCCTTTCCCCATGTTTCTTTTCACAGGTTTCAATAAAAACACCCGAAGTTGGGTCCTTCTTTAAAAAAAAGGAAGAAAATAAGAAAGGTTTGTTTACAAGGTAAGAAAAAAAGCCATTGAAAAAGTATAATCTGGTATGTATTAATTTGTTTCAGAATATTCTTGTGAAATAAAACTTATTCTGCAGAAAGTCCTACATCTTGGATGTTAGTTGTAGCCAGCTTAAATCCCTGTAACCATGAACAAAGTTTTCTATTTTTCTAATATTTCTTTTATTTATATTTGTAACCAATCCCTTCCCTAAATATCAATCTTGTTTCCCTCCATTTGCTGAAACCTCAGCTCCAAGAGAGTCAAATTCTTGTCCATCCCCTACCACAATTTGATGATAATGACAATAATGACAGCAGTGGCAGTAACTACATCTATGATAAGAGCAACTGTTATTTGTTGAACACCAACAATGAACAAAGTACTGTGACTGCAACAACCTTTTTAAAAAAAAAAAAAAAAAGAAAACTAGGCACAGAGAGTTTCAGAGACTTGTCAAAGGTTACAAACCAAATTAAATGTCAGAGCTAGAATTCATGATATACTGTATATCCTTTTCCCCCACCTGTCTAAATCCTACCTACTCTTCAGGACCTGGCTTCAATCCTACCTACCCCAAGAAATCTTTATTTCTCTTCCATCCATAGAAACCTAATATGTGTTAGGCACTGTATTGAGCACTCTGCATTCGCTCTCTGGTTCAAACCTCAACATTCCTATCAGAGAAATCTTGTTATTCCCATTTTACAGAAGAGTTTAAATAATCCGCAAGGTCATCTAGCCAGATAGTCACAGGCAAGAATTAGAACTCTAGCTATTAATCCAAAGATTAGCTACTAATCTTAACCACTTCACAATATTGTACCTCTTTAAATTCATATAGATACTTAGCATGTCTACAGTTTACTATGCACTTAACCACATCCAACCATGCATTTTTTAATTAACATTTAATTTTAGAACAGTTTTAAATTTACATAAAAACTATGAAGATAATACAGAGTTTCCACACACCCTTCACCCAATTTCCTCAATTATTAATATCTTACATTTTATGGTACATAATTATGTATGATTAATTAAGATTAATGATGAATACAATACACTGTGATTATTAACTAAAGCTAAGACTACAAAAAGTTAAGAGGATTACACCAATTGGTTTTCAAGTGTTGAATCAGCATTACATACCTGGCATAAATCCCATTTGATCATGGTATATACTTTTTCTTATTCCTATTTAACTTTCCAGATGATTATACTCAGTTTCTCTAAGAGATTATATACTTTTTGAGATCTAGAACCAATTCCCCTATTCTATTTAATTTACCACTTATTGAGCATCTATTATGTACAATTTCATAAAGAAATGTTGGCAGTACAAAGATGAACTCAGTATCCTTGCTTAGGGAGACTAAGGTCTTGCTAAGGTAGCATGACATGTAGACATATGAAATATTTATTATATTCCCCATGGTCCTTGACAAATTCTATGAATATATGACATCTGAAAATTAGTTATTAGGACTTCAATTTGTCATCTGCCACCACAATTCAAAAACATATCTCCTCTCATTCTCCTAGTTATCTCTCTTTCAATATATTCAACACAAGGAATAAAATATCTTGGGTATGCCTGCCACAGTGTATGGCAAACACCCCAGTGTTCTCTGCTATCATATCATTTCCTCTGGAGCGTCCCTCTGTGCTACCTTCACCCTAGTCTTATTCTGAACTCTGACTTCTGGCCATGGTGTTGATCAGACTGTTTCCTCATTTCTCCCCATCAAAGATAGTAAGGCCATGGTCAGATAAAACAGCTTTTACCTTTCTCTGCAAATGTCACTGAATGCTTAATGCTCTAAGAATAGAGAGAGCACAACTGTGGTGGGGCGGAAGTAAAGAGGTAAAAGGAAGAATGATGATAACAACATACAATATTACACTTCTCTAAATCTAGGGTCCTATCCAAGGTAAGCTTGGGACCCAACATATTAAACCCAGACTGGTATTTATTCACTCTTTCATTCATTTATATAACCCAGCACAAGATGCTGGGGATTAAATCATGGATAAATTAAGAGCCTCTACCCTTAACGAGTTCCATGCAGACCTGGAAAGATGTAGTTATTGGGGAAGAGTAAACACTGCTTTTACCATTACTGATTCAGGAATACTCCATGCAGGCTGACGTTGCCACAGAAGCACCAGGACCTTCCCACAAGTGGTATGTTACTATTTTCAAGCATGTGATGGCCTATCACATAGCAGAAGAATTAGACAATAGCAAGGGAGTGGCAAAGGGCAGAAGGCACAATAAGTTTTGTGTAATAATGATAGATATTCATAGAGTTAGCTGCCTCAGGATATAGGGAGCTACCTCACTCCAATGGAAGTGTTTAAGGCTCCAAGCTCCTTGGTGTTTGGTATAGAACACTAAGGGGAAGAAACACAGGTCATCTTCTCATGTACAGATCTCTCTCTCCATCTGTTCTGGGACAGATATTTGGTACCAACTCAGTGCTGCCTCTAGGTCCTGGCCATTTGTCCCTCCTACGCAGATCTGGCTTCAGGCCTCCTAGAGTAAGAACTGGGCCAGTTGCATCTCCTCTTATAGCTTTATGATGTCCCAAAACAGTGGCTTCAGATTCTTCTGCAACAGATCTTGCTAGACATCGCAGATGAAGGTGACAAAGTTGTACACTACAGTGATCCAGGCTAGAGAAGATGGTGAGATGTAGGTGGGGCTCTCAAAGTGACAAAGCAAGGTATGGTACTGGCAGGTGTGTGCATATAAGCTGGCACTGCCAAACCTGACTGTGTCCACTCTTATTGCAGCAGTATCTGCAAAGCCACAGGCTAGATGGTGAGCATTTGCTGTCCTCTAGAGAAGTTTACAACAGCACCAAGAAATTTTGCATAATAAAGTCCAGGCAAGGGCCCACATCCTTCCAAGGAAGGAAAAGGACTTGTCTAAGACAAGCAACTCCCTCCAGGCCTCAAATTCTGCAGATACGGTGATACCCATCTCCTTGTCCTCTTCGTCCAAGGAAAGGGCATGTCTCACAGTGGAGCACAACTTGGTAGAGGCTGCTGCTAGTATTCCTGGCCCTTGTGGGGCCCAGGCTTAGTAGGGTTCAGCAGCTGCAGGGAGGGCTCATGGTTGGGATAAGCTGGATGTGGATGTGATGACTGATGTCTTCAAGGCTATCATCTCCACCTGCAGCATGTCGATCCTGCCCCCTACCTCCTTCAGCAGTTTTTCTGATGCCAACTACTTCCTGTGAGCTTCTCACACCATCTTGTGGGCTTCCTCAGAGAGGCTGGCCATCAGCAACACCTCCAGCTCCTGTTCCAGTCGTTCCCACACCTCCTACCACTGCTGATGGTCCTCACCTTTCAGCTTCAGCTGCTTCTAGGCTATGTGAGCTCCTCCGACAGTAGCTCAGGGCCCCACCCTTTTTGTAAACCTCCATGGGGATCCTGTAAGAATATCTGTCAATAGTATTAGAGAAAAGCTCCCTCCAGGGTTCATACTATTGAACAGGATCCTTTACCACTCCCAGATTCTGAGATTCTGAAAGTGAAAAGAAACATGCCTTCATGGGCTCACTTTAATAAAATTCTTAAAATGGTGCCTGCCACAAAGTAAGCACTCAATAACTGTTACCTACTATCATCATTATCACCATTATTTCCCCCAAGAAAACATAAACTAAGAGCAAGAGCATCATAAACCCAGTTAGACCCACATAGAACCTAACTAACCCAGTAATTTTCAAATAGCAGATATGAAAAAAAAAAAGTGGCTTTAATAAAATATATTTTCCTTAGCATAGAATTTGCTGTCACTCTAAAGATAGGTATAAATTTTTACATAAACATTACATTGCTAATATTTCAAAGGAAATTTAATTCATTCTGTTCTAGAAGGATTCTGAATGGGCTTCCACAAGTAGGTAGAAAACCTGGAGTGCAGCCTGAATACACCTAAGGAATAAAATTTCTTATATAGAAGATGAAATAAAACTACAGAAAGTTATTTCTTTCAACTCTCATTTTCCAACACAAATGTGTCACAATTTACATATATTAAAAGAGATGTACATAAACAACTGGGATTATTATAACACACGTGAAAGAATTATATACAGGCCCAAGATCTAAAAAATATATATTTCAAAGTACCTGAATGAAGTGATAGGGAAAACCATGGGGATATCTGTGGGAAGAGCATTCCAAACCCAGGGAACTGTGAGTATGAAGACTCTGAGGCAGCGATGTGCTTTCAAGAACCCTGAGGAAGCTACTATGGCTGAAGCTAAGTGATCAGTTCATATGCTGTGCTATAACAAGATTATCACACCAGTTTCTGTTAAATTGTCCATAAAAGTACCGGCAAGAACATCTGGAAACAAGGCATATTCAGGTATGACCAGGCAAGTCTGTCCCCCAAAGTTAGTGTGAAGATTTATCAGAACTTATCACTGGGGAAAACATGGACAGGATTCTCAGCAGTATCCCAACAGTTCAGCTGGCCAGTGGCTGGCTGATGCTTGACTGTGCAAGATAAATCCAGTTAGCTCCATTCCTAATGCCTCCTAGGAAGTGCTGGCTCAGTCCACATTAACAGCTTACACTGGGCATGGGTGTTATATTAAGAAAAGCAGAGGGATGTTGTGCCAAGAAAGGCAGCAGTGCCCAGAACTCTTCCCCAG